AAAAAAAAAAAAAAAATTAGAATTCCTCAAAGTTTCCTCTTTTCCACTCAGAGTATTCATAAGAAAGCTAAATGAGAGGCACCTGGCTGGCTCAGTCAGTATAGCATGTGACTCTTTACCTCAGTGGGGGTGGGGGGTAGTGAGTTCAAGCCCCACATTGGGCACAGAGCTTACCTAATGAAAGGGAGGAAGGGAGGAAGGGAGAAAGAAAAAGAAAAGAAAAGAAAAAAGAAAAGCCAAATGAACAAAGAGGAAAATATTGCAAATTCGGGCTTTCCATACCTTCCACATCATACCAATGTGCGCCGTTTGTGATCCCATCTTTGAAAGTCTCATCTTCATCTCCTGGACAATGAGGGGCACCAGTTCTCATTATGGGATGGTTTGATGCATAGGCTTTTGCCAAGTATTTAAAGACTTCATCATCTGAGGTTTTGCTATAGATTCCAGTGGCCTTATGTTCTGGAGAGTCATCAAAAGGATAGCTTGCTACCACGGAGCCACCATGCAGATTTCCAGAAAGCACAAGCCTTTGAAAACAACCAAAGCACATATCACTGAAAAAAAAAAAAAAACAAGCACAGAAAATGCCATGTATTTAAAAATTCTACATCTTTCATAAATGAACTCAGGTATCTCTTAGAGACTTAGAAGACAACACTATCAGCTACTGGAAGCAGAACAACAACAAAAGAAAAGGAAAGAAAGCATCATCAGTTGAACAAATTTCAGGCAAACAGTTTTTGCAATTTAAGTTAACCTTAAGTAACTTTAAAGAATTTTCCCATCATTGAAAAAGTAGCTGAATAACAGTATAAATTAACATTCCAGGAGACATCTTATTCAGGGAATTCAAATATATGTGTTAGGTTGAACAATATGAATTTGCCAGTGCTCAGTCACATTGTGACTACAAAAGCGACAATTTCATATAGTTCAACCTAATACTTGTATTTCATAACATGTTAACATCGCAGAAAACATGGCCTGTATAAATATGTGTGGAATATGTGAGTTAGGTTAATAACTTCCATGATTTTTTATATTTACTATTCCAAAATATTTAAGGTAGGGAGTCTAATTTAAAACAGGATGTGTTTTGCCTGACTCCAGTTTCACAATATACTAAATTCACATTTTCAAGAGAGAAGCCGCAGTTGACAAGACTGGGGGTGGGGAGAACCTGATACAGTGAGCTGCTTTCAGAGAAAAACAATATAGCACAGAGAAGATTAGTCCTTCAGTGCATCACCATAGAAGCAGTTCTCTTTCTAAGCCCAAGGTTTCTGATTGGTCCATTAAAAAATAAACTGACATGGAGACAGGGCCCGCTCCCATAAAAGAAACATTTTTTTTTTTTTATGTTTCTACTTCTAAGCGAACCAATTTATAATTTGGTGAAATTTATAGATACAGAAATACTGAAGAACTCCTTTTATGGTGAAAGCTAAAAGCAAAAACATGCTGAAGTCCTATTTATACATCTTTCCCTCATGGAACAGTTCAAACTATTACTGTGACTACAGATTAAACACTTTCCTCTTTGCACTCTAAATTGGATTTTCTTGCTTCTGCCTTTTTGTGGCTGAAATGAACTGACCTACAGAAATTCTAAAGGGGGTTATGTATAACGTTTCTTTCTATATGCTTCAAAGAAACTTAAACCTATAGTATGTCTAATTTGAAAGGTTATTTTAAGTGTGATCAGTACCATCCCAGGGAATATCAAAAAGTGAAAATTACTTGTAACACAGAATCCGTTCATCAGAAGACAGAACTTAGCCAATAAAAACAGTGATTAAATACTAGAATAGAGTATGAAAAGAGACTAGTTAAAAACTAACATATATAATTATAATTAGCAATCTTCCAGACACCAGAGAATGCCATTTGGTGGAGCAGCAATAGCTCAGGCTTTGGAGCCAGGCAAATATGGGCAAGAACATTCAGTCTCCCAGAGCTGTCACTCAGTAATAAATATGGTGTCACCAGTAATAAATATGATATTGCTCAGTAATAAGTATGATATCGCCAGTAATAAAATATGATCAGGAAGAAGTTACTGCCTCTAAATTCATTGAACCCCAGTTTCTCTCTCATCTGTAAAATGGGGATTAATGCTACCTGCTTCCCAGGGTTGCTATAAAAATTAATACACGTACGACACCTTCCAGCACAACAACTGCTGTATATCCTCTGCTCAACAAATGTCCACTCCTTTGGAGATATCTAGCATCCTACTTCGGGAATCACTGCCTTCAGACTTTCATTTTTTCCCCACTACCAGTGCTAGCTCTTGGGTGATAGAATGATACAGAAATTCTAACTCCATTCTACGCATCTGGCCCTCACTGCTAAGGTATTATCAATTTACTTCTGATTTGTATGCCTAAAGTAATTGAAGTACTTTTCTCTCCCCCTTCTGATTTTGGGAAAGTTACAAGAAGGCTAGCCTAGTTCCATTCAGCAACAAATTTTCTTAAGTGTCAACTATGTGCCAAATGTTCTAGGCACTAAGGAATACGCCAGAGAACAAACAAACATAAAAATGCCCACAGGCACTCATATTCTAGTAAAATAAAATGGATAACTGCATATTCTAAATAGTGAAGCATGCTACTTTGTGTATTTTCTTTTTTTTTTTAATTGTATATTTTCAATTAAAACTTTAAAGTCCGAGATTCTCAACTAAATGCTGTTTTCACTTTGTCTGGCATTGCTTGCAATGCTTCTCAGAAATATTAAAATGGCCTAATGAAATACTTTTAGAAAAACAAAATATTTGCAATCTACTTGAGTGATAAAATTCAACTGTTAGATTTTCCTTACTTTACTTATGTAGTCTTAAAAGTATGAATGCCACTCTTACAAGGATTTCAAGACAAAGTGATACCTATTACAGTCGCTATAAGTTTATCGTTTTTAGTCTTTATCAAACCAACTTTGCATGTCAATCCAATTTTATTTGAAAGGTATTTTATTGTTTTTGTTTTTTTATTTAAGATTTTATTTATCTATTTGACAGAGAGAGACACAGCGAGAGAGGGAACACAAGCAGGGGGAGTGGGAGAGGGAGAAGCAGGCTCCCCGCCGAGCAGGGAGCCCAATGCGGGGCTCAATCCCAGGACCCTGGGATCATGACCTGAGCTGAAGGCAGACGCTTAACGACTGAGCCACCCAGGCGCCCCTTACTGTTTTCATTCAAATCAGTTCCTTTAAATGTTCCTCATACTTCAGGATCATATATTATTCCTTGCATAAGATTTAAGGTACCTGCTAAATATAAGTATTATAAACAAGATTTATAGATATAAAAAAGTTAATCTCTAAGTTAACTCTATTTTGCTCTCCAGATAACCCTATAAATAACTTTTAAAAATTATGAGAACTTGAGGGGCGCCTGGGTGGTTAGGTGGGTTAAGTGTTTGACTCTTGATTTTGGCTCAGGTCATGATCTCAGGGTCATGGGATCGAGCCCCGCGTCCAGCTCTCTCTCCCTCTCCCTCTGCCCCTCCCCTCCCGCGTTTTCTCTCTCTCTAAAATAAATTAAAAAATAAATTAAAATAAAAAATAAATAAAAATTATGAGAACTTGAGTCTGATAAACTAAATTCTAAAGATTCAGGAAACTAAAGATATAATACAAGCCCCTCAATAGTAGTTTGTACCCACCCCCAGCAATATGGTAATGATTTTCACCAACATACCAAAAAATCATTTATATGCTAATCTCCTATTAAAGTCTAAGCAAATACATTTAATTAAAGAAGCCTAGTGTGCCAAAAATGGGGGCCAAGAAAACTATAAAATCTTTATTTTAATGATGGGGTTAAAATCTTGTATATTTTCCTAAGTATGTGTCAATTATCAATAATACAGAGGCACCCACTGGATGAAGTATAAAGTGAAACAAAGAAAATAAAATTCACTTTCCTAAGCAGAAGGAAATAAGTCTTAAATTCTTACCTACCCAAAATAGCAACAAAAATCTATTTCTAATATAGCTGGGTGAACTGCCTATCTAGAAATTACTCAAATGATTTCAGAAAATACACTGAAAAAGGTAATTTTCCCATACAGACTAATGTGTGCAGTTCTTAAATTTCCTATTCATGGAGCTGACTCTAGGCATCAATCTCAAATTGTGTGTATGCTTGTGCTTCTCATTTTATTCACATATCAGTGGCCTTTGTTAATTTATCATTAAAGAATATGCATTTTGAGTTAATTTGTGAAAACTGAGGAAGGATGGATGTACTTTTCACCCTATATAGTCACCTACTTTCCCTTATTAGAATTACATGTTTGAAACGTGGTTGGTTCAGATTGGGATAGTCCATAGCCACGGAACAAAATGACTTTTTGTGTAATGACAACAAACCCAGATTAACTTTTAAAATTGTCACAAGCTCCTATCATTGAACTAATCGGCCCAACCCAAAACTTATAATCATTAAATACTGTGATATGAAAACGTTAACCAGAGAGCAAATTTTTGGTTCCACATTTAAAGTTTAAGGCTTTTGATGCAGCCTCAAGGTGACTTGCAAAGCTCATTTTCATTTCTGGTCACCACAGAACTAATACTGAAGAGAAAAATCTAGTCACGGAATTTATATCCCTACAAGGGTCATGACAGGGCATTTTCATTTAAGCAATGCAAACAGTGCATTCGATATATCATCTCAGAAAAGCCCTGGCCATCATAGCTTCTGACAGCAAGATATACATTAAAGTCATGTTTCTTAGACAAATGTTCAGAGATCATGATATGGTTATCTTTACAAGAAAAAAAAAAATCTTCCCAGAATATATATGTGAAATTAAATATCTACAAGGGATCTCAAAAGGAAGAGTAAAGTGAAAGGTGGAAATAAAAAAAAATCTAGGGTTGTCATAATGCCTATGAATTTTCTAGGTCTGCTATATGTATTGAAATCTTATAGAAGAGGTGATCCCAAGTGCCACAGAGAAACTTCTCTGTTCATTATTACTTTTATTGTATCTGTCACTTAGAAATCTTCAAATCCAGATGGAAAGATTAACTATTGCCTCGCAAGCCTTATGAAAGACACAAAAAGGGGGATATGCTGGTAAAGCCGATGCTTGAAAAGGGAACTAGTACATGCTCACTTCAGACACTATTCCATCTGGAGTGAGTTCTCTGTTCTTTTATTCCTCCCCTCCTCCTTTTTGCTGAAAATCCTCGAAACGCCGTTCAAGTTCTACCTCTTCCACAGAGATGATCTGTATTATTGCAGCCCACACATATTTTGCCAGTAGGAACAACTCCTATAAAGTTTAACTGGGTACATAAACACACCTCACAGATATTTATGATATTCTCTTGTTATACATCAATTTCTTGAGGTCCTATTGCTTTTAATTTTTTACATCCCACATAATGCTTAATAACACTTAAGGTGTGTACTAAATGCGATAATTAGCCATTCAGCCCTGGCCCACTAATAAAGTGCACAAATGGCAACAGAAACCTTTTAGAGAATCTAAAATGAAGCAGGGATGAAAGTACCAGCTCTGTGCAAGTTCTCCAGCCATAGCCATATGCTCCCTAGCTGAGTCAGAATAAAGACTGGAAGAGAACCAGTTTCCATCAAATAACCAAGACCCAGGGAGTGTCATTTATCATTAATGAGTTACAGCCTCCCTCTGTAGCTGTTAAGAGCACTGACAAAGAGTCAGATTGCAGCATCTAAGTCCCAGCTACACTCCCTACTGTGTACATTATTTAACCACTCTGACCCTTAATTTCCCCTATATGCAAAACAGGGATATTAATGATGTCTGTTTCATGAGGTTGTGGCCAACATAAAGTGAGACAGGTCATGCAGTCCAGAGAAAGAGCTTACTTAGCACCGTGCCTACAGTAATAATAGCAGTATTGACAGCTGATCTATAAAATGAGTGAGCTGACCTAAGTTATCCTTAAGTTCTCTTCTATTGCTCATGTTCTATGGTCCTGTGACAATAGGGACGAGAATGTCGGAAAGAAGTCTCGCTTCTAGCCAAACAGCTCTTTGCATCCGTTGAACAAATGACAGCCTCTAGGCAATGCTTCTTGGACTATTAGCGGGACAAGAGACTAAGCGGCCTGGGCCCTGTCCCGGTTATGGGGTGTCGCCTTCCACCTTCACTACCCCCGTCCCTTAGGCCTGCAAACAAGCACTGTTGGAGTGCCTACTGAGTGCCGGACCCAGCCTCTGCCCCTGCAGGCTCACGTGGATGGGCGGGGGGTTATGACACTCACTTGTTCCTGCGGATCCAGTCCATGAGGGCACGCACCTCGGGCACGTCGTCCAGGGCTGGTGGCTCGCCAGTGCTGAACTGGTCGGGGAAGCTGCGGTTGAGGTCACGGCCGCGGCTGTTGTCGCGACCGCTGGTCCCGGGGGGGCCACTATCGCTGAGGCCGCAGTCGCCCTCCCGGGCGCGCTCAAAGCCGTCGGGGTTGAGGCTAGGCAGCACGTACACGTCGGTGGTGTTGAGCAGGCGGACGATGCGCGGATCCCCGCGGCGGTAGCCAGCAGCCAGCTCGCGGGCTAGGTAGATCAGCACCTGGCGCGACACGGTCTCGTCGCCGTGCATGTTGCCCACTAGCTTCACCTGCGGTCGGCCGGGCAGGAGCGGCCCCTCCGCGTCGGGCCCCGAGTCGCTGTCAGGAGACGGCGGCCCCAGGCCGGCCGTGAGGCGCAGCACCCACAGCGGCCGACCCTCCACCGAGCTGCCGATGCTGAAGAGGCGGGCCAGGCCCGGGGGCCCCGCGGCCGCAGCCTCCCTCAGCGCCGAGCCCAGCTCCTCTTCGTGGTAGTAGCGATTGAACTGGCCCTCGTCCGCCTCGGCGCCTGCGCTCGTCGTCGTTGTCGTCGCCTCCGCCTTCTTGATGTGCGCTGCCCGGGCCGGGTTCCGCAGCAACAGCAGCAGCAGGCACAGCAGAAGCGGGAGGCGCCCCGGCTGCCAGGGCGGCCGCGCGTCGCGGCCACTCGCCATCTTCCAGCAGCTCCGCTAACCCCGGCTCCGCTCCCGCGGCTCCGCGCTCCGGGAGGAGGGGGCCCGCCGGATCCCCTGCGCACCTAGCAACCCCCCTCCCGCCTTCCGGCCGCAGCCAATCGTGGACGGGCCTGCTGCGGCGACACGCAGGGGGCGGGGCTCTCCTTAAAGAAACAGCTCCCTCTGGGCGTGCCTTCCTCCTGTCCCGGACGAGTTTGGTCACTCTCTCCCTTCCCTAGGGTTCCTCTCCCTCTCTTTCCCTCCTCCCCGTTTCCTCTTCTGCGTTTGCTCTGCTTTTTCTCTACTCGCGCAATCTCTCCTTTATGGCTTACCCGTTAAATTCTCACCCACTTTTCTCTGAGTACTCTTACCAACTCCCCATCTTTGTTGCAGCTTTCCCCCGCTGCTCTTTAACGCTTAGAATCGAGAATCAAAAGAATCGAAAGGTTCCAAAGGTTCCAAAGAATCAAAGAACTCCAGTAAAATTTAAAAAAAAAAATCAAAAGATTCGAAAGAATCTACCTTGAAAGAGCCAAAGGACGCCTTAGCCCTTTCCACCCTACGCCTTTTCCACTGGAGCCGCCCTGACTTGGCTTGAGCCCAGCGCACTGCAAGCCACCGAAGGCCGTGGGACCCTGGGGCACTCGAAGCTCACCTCACAAGGCAGTCCATTCCAGCTTTTAGTTTCTGTGTTGAACGAAGGTGCCTCCTTTATGTTTAGCAGAGATCTGCTATGTAGTAGGCTCCCTTTGTGTTGCTGTATAATAATGTATAATGTATATATGTTATTTCACGGCCACTAATTCTTGTGTGTGCTGGTCTCAGCCCTCTGTCGGCAGATTTCATGTTCACTTTCTCACCTCTCACAACTCTCCCGAAAGAGTTATTTGTTTAACTGTGGCCTGAAAATGACATTCTTAAAGCAGCAGGTATGACGTTTCTGGAAACACTTGCTTGGTGAGTATAATTCCTGAACTCCTCAATGTTGTGTCAAAGCTGGCAAATACGGTCTTTATAATCTAGAGATGAAGCCTTTTAAACTGGTTTTTAAAATAAGCTTCAGTCACTTTAGCTTGAAGAAACACAAAACCTCACAATTCTTTTATCAAGTGTGAAATTTTACCCATCTAACAACATAATTGTAATGACTATGGTATTTCCTTCTTTCAGAGCCAGGCATTTCAAGGCCCCTTCTTTGAACTATGATTGAACCCTAATATGACTAGTAAAGAGTTAATTCATTTCTCTGTCAAATATTTATTGAGCAACTACTGTGTGTCAGAGCCAGATGCTGGTAAGATAGAGATCAGATACAGATAGAGATATTCAGGCATGGGAAACCTCATTCAACCTGAGGAGGAGAAAAGGAGAAGAGAAGCTGAAGGGGAGAGGAGGAATTCTGGGCAGAAGGAGGAGCAAGCACAGCAAGCTGCCAGGCTTGAGAGCAAATACTGCATGTTCTGAGGACTGCATGCAGATCAAGATTACTGATGTGAAGGTACTCACAGATATGGAGGTGACCTGATAGGACACAAGCCAGAGAAGCAGGACCAGAACCCGAAAAGCCTCACAAGCCCAGCTTTGGGGAGCATTTAATACAGAAGACCATGGAGAGCCACTGATGGATTTTAAACTGGATGGATTTTAATTTTGAAAAATCCCCTTGACAGTAACATAGCGAATGGAGTGGAAGGCCTAAGACTTGAGACCGAGAAAACCATCAGGAAGCTATAATCCAAGAAGACGTGATGAAACTCTTAACCTTCAAAGGTGATGCCAGGGGAAGCGGAGAGAAGGAAATGGATTTGAAAGACCTTCAGGAGAGAAAGTATACAGGAGCTGGTGGCAGAGAGAGAGGATTGTAGGCTGATTCGAAGTTACAGCCTAAGCAACTTGCAAGTGTTCACCAAGATACAAGACAGAAGAAACTCAGGCTTAGGTGAAGATGATAAGTTTAGCACAGTCACTGTGATTGGTGCTGTGAATGCCTCTTTCTCCTCCACACCTCGTTTGGTTTAGTCCACAGCATACACAGCAGCTGCAACTCATCAGGTGCAGAAGTCCCCACTCGGAGCAGAGACCACTGCCCCCTGGGGAGTGCTTAATCTTTATCCGATGCACTTTTACAATCATCCAAATCGAAGAAGCCCCAGGGGACATGTTAACCTCTAATCAAATATTTCCTTTTCTACCATTTTCACTCTCCTTTGAAACCTCTTCCTGCCACCTCACTCCCGTAGCCTCACCTAGCGAGGCAGCCTTGAAATGTAAACAAACAAGCTGGAGGGCAGTGAAACACTGTGATGTAACTCGAGCCAGAGGTGTCCCAGGAATCCTCAGACCTCTTTCAGGTCTGGAGCCTCCGGTCTAAGCATGTACGCGGTGCCAGGGGTTAGAAGTGAAACCTGACCCCGGTCACTGCTCACTGGAGGGGAAATCTCCAGCTACATACCTCTAGCTGTCCCGGAGAAGTCTTGAACCTTGTGACAGGTGTCCCTTTCCTCCTCCCCCACAAAGAAAGTGTTGGCCTCACAGGTGAAGGAACTTAGGAAAAGCTTGAAGGTGAAAAGGCTTCCTGTTCACAGAAGCAGAGCAGTAAAGACCCAGACTTTTCAAAACAAGGCAGAGCTGTTGGATGGCTTTGTTGCTTTGGTAACCACTTTCTTTAAAAGACATCAAGGTAACTGAAGCACAGCATAGACCATGAACTTGTAAACGTCACATTGTCTGGCGTGAACACCCATAGACTTACAAATTCAGTTTGATAGATGTTTATGGAGCACCCACTCTAGTGAAAGGTCTGCCTCGCTGGGCGCAGGAGGATTGGAAGATGAATGAGAGATTCCCCTCTCCCAGGAGGCCAGAGTCTGGTGAGGGAGATAGAACATAGGACAGGATGTGTCCCTAGGGCCGGAGCTATGCAAAGACACTATGCTAAACCCTTTCTGTTGCTGATGCATTTAATCCTCATAACCATCCTGAAGTAAGTACTATTATCATTCCCATTTCAAAGATAAAAAGACTGAGGTACAAGGTCTCGCAGCTGGCAAGCCACAGATCTAGGGCTCAAACCCAGGGAATCTGGCTTCAGAGTCTGTATGTTTAATCTCTGTAATAAATCTGCTTTTGTGTAGTGAACTAAAAACAAACAACAACAAAACCCCTGCTGTTGGAACACAGGAAAAGGCAACTAATTGTGATGAGTCAGAGAAATTTTCACCAATACCATCAGATCGTGAATCAAGTTGAAATCCTAGATCAACCATTTCCTAGCTGTTTTAACTTGGGAAAGTTATTTCCGTTTTCTGATAATTAAATAATACATGTATAATATTTATGTCATACTTTGCATATTGCAAGCTAAAAAAAAAAATTTACCTTGGTTAGGTAATTTTAGTTAGGCCTGTTTCTAGGGCATAGAAATGCTGTTGCCCAATCATGATGCCACTATAGTGATTTTTTTTTTATAAATTCTTTTTTTTTAAAGATTTTATTTATTTATTTGACAGAGAGAGACACAGGGAGAGAGGAAGCACAACCAGGGGGAGTGGGAGAGGGAGAAGCAGGCTTCCCGCCGAGCAGGGAGCCGGTTGCGGGGCTCGATCCCAGGAGCCTGGGATCATGACGTGAGCCGAAGGCAGATGCTTAATGACTGAGCCACCCAGGAGCCCCCGCCACTAAGGTGATTTTGATCTTTATTTCCAAAAAATTCACTATCAGCCAGCACCAAATGGACAGCAGTTCTATTCTCATGAGGCAGAGAGGGAGGGAAGCAAGTATCAAATACTTTCAGTTATACCTATCAGAAAACCTGACTCATTCTAACTTGAATAATAAATGGAATTTATTGGCTCATGTAACTGAGAAGTCCGAAGGAGAAGTCTGGATTGAGGCATAGCTTTACCCTGTGACTAAATGGTCACCAAGCACCTGCTTTCTACAATGTTCACTTTATTCTAAGTTTGTCTCCCTTTGTGGTCCCAAGGGGGCTGCCCGAAGCTCCCAAAACCACATGCTTTCTCATTCATACTCAGCAAGAAACAGAGGATGCCCTTATCCTATTAATATTGCTGAGTTTCACTTAGATTGGATCGGCTTAGGTCACATGCCCACCCCTGAACCAATCACTACAGGCGAGATGGAGTATACTGATTGACTTGGCTTAGGATATGAACTCCATGGCTGGGGCCCCAAATGCAATCTGATCCCAGGAATTGCACGGAATCTAATCCCAGGAATTGCATGGATTCCCAAATGGAAATCAGAGCCTATGGCAAAAAGTAGGTGGTGAATGGAAGCTGGGAAGACAACCAATCTATACCAACCTGCGTCACCATACTAACACCGGAACATTCTATTCACTCAACATTATGAGGTATATCTCTGTGCCCTGTCCTGGGCCGGGGGGGTGGGGGGGAGGTGGGTGTGTGTGGGGGGGCACGTAACTGTGTATGAGACAGAAGGAAGAAGAAGAAGGAAGAGAAAGTGCTGCAATGCAGTGAATTAAGCAACACAGTGGAAGAAGTAAGAAATACGTGAATAAGTAACTGTGGATGTAGGCAGTGCTCATAACTAATACCAGTGTGGGCGTTAGAGCTTTTACAGTGTGCTTCCCATACAGTCTGTCTTGCTCATCCCCACAATTTGAAGAGGAACATTTGTCCTCATTTCTGGCTGTCCAGGATCCAGACCCCCTCCCTTCTTTTAGGGAATCGTCCCACCTTATGAGTCTTGGTGGGAGGCGGGACCTCCTCCTACTCTACAGGCTGAACATGCCAGGTGCTTGCTCTCCCGGGACCTGGGCCCACAGCCTGGACTTGGCCAAGTAGATTAACTCGCGACCAGCTTTGAATTGTGACACAAAGAGGCAGAGACTGTGGGAAATTCATTTTGGCTGTAGTGGAGTGAGAGTGCCAGCCACCTATAGGTTTCCAGGTGACGGAGCGAACAGGACACCCCACTCTGAGTGCCAGGGGTAGGGGCAGGGTAAGCTGCTGCAGCTGGTACTTGCAATTCCCCAAGTTCTGCTGCTTGCTTT